GAAAAAAATGCATAATGTCTTGTTAAAATTTCTAGATGTAAAAAATCAATGGTTTTAAACTTTTCTTCTAATTGATATGATTAATCCAAATATACCCTAAATAAGGATATTTTAATTATTTTTGTCACCGTTGAGATTCCCAGACAACTTTGTATTGTGAAAGTAAAATAACGTCATAAGAGTTTAAAAAAAAAGAAATCCTCTCTGATTTTATAGTAAGTAGCTTTGTCGGTATATGATTATTAAGGTCAGACGATACATTACCCAAATATCTGTTTTGTTTTTTTAATAATATATGAAAAATAAAAAAAAAATCATTAATTACTTTCTGATTTCTGAACTGGTTTCTAAATGTTAAAAAAAAAAGAAACACTAAAAATGTAATTTTGGCAAACTAAGTTTTTTTCCCTTAAGGATTGTATAAGAAATCCAATTCTCTTGTATCTTGCACCAATGACTGGTAAGGTACCTCAATTTTTTGTGAGTAAACATGATATAGTATTAATTCTTCAATGACAAAATATAAGAAAAAATATATATAATCGAGGAACGCCTCGTCTGTCCTTAATTATATAAACTGGCTTTCACATGATCTACAAAAGTAAAGCACATTCACTCTCAATTATAAACTCTGCAAATTCTTGGAGAGGGGGGTTTACTACCCAGCTAACACAAAAACATTTCTTTAAATATGTTGAGGAAACATTTTTAAAATTATTCTAAATTATGATTTTTAAACTCTTTTAAAACTTGTTATTGAAATTGTTCAGCAAACATTTTAAAACACTACCTAAAAAATGGTACAAAAACATTTTTCAACAATGTTTTAATCACGTGATTTGGTATGGTTTTTAACCGTTTTAAAACATTTAGCAAAATATTTCAAGAAATTTTATAACGTTATATTAACATTACCATAAAAATGTAACAAAAATATTTGCGAAAATGTTTTATTCACGTTATTTTGCATGTTTTTTTTTTTGCAAAAAGATTTTTAAAACATCAAAGTTTTTTTTCTTGAAATGTTTCTTAACGTTTAATTTTGTTTAACTTTATGAACATTATTGCAGCTTTTGACACGTTTAAAACATTAAATAATGAAATCTATAAATTTTAAAAGAAATAAACACAAATTATATTTTATTTAATAAGCTTTTATATAAACCCATATTTGATATATGATAAATCACATCAAATATCCATTCTAAGTACTAGTTTTAACTTTAATTGTTTCAAGTCGTCACTAGATTTCGTAAAAGGTAAAAACGCCCTTTAATTCATTCACTCAATTTTAGAAGAATAGAATCATAGAAATCCTATGTTCTCTGACGTAGGTCGAACAGAGCGGCGGATCTATAAGTTAGAATCACATACTCTTAAAAAGGCTAACAAAGAATCTGCATTTGAAAAGAATAACACAGCCCTACGATTGAGAAAAAAAATCATCTTTCTACATAAGGATATGAAGATAATGAACAGTATTCAATCTCAAAGTCCATCAAACACTTCAAAATAGGAGCAGAGCAAACACGGAACTCCGAAACATCAGAGGTGGGATCAGGTTCCATGGAGGATTGAGCATCCCCTGCTGACCAGTCACACCAGCCGTGTGCTCCTTGTCATGATCACGAAATATCGGAAAAATCCGTCGTCAATTCAGTACATAAATAATGGACTAACAATTAGTATGAAAAACGTCAGGCAGCATTTGACTCAATGATAAATTGTATTTGTTGACAAGGTCATTGTATCGACCGTAGAACTTACAGAAAGATGACTTTAATCGAGACTGTTGATATTCTTGATTCATCAACTTGCTTGTCAATAATTTACCTCGTTTTAGAAATTGTTCATACGTAGAGCATGCTTTTGTGTATCGAATCAACTGAGATATATGGGTACAGTCCACTGATTGTTTTCCCATAGGCGACATAATGTAAACATTTCTTCTCATAGCGATGCTTGCATGTACCTAATTTTTGTTCAGCAGTGAGTGACCCCTCAAATCAAAGCACATCAAGTTGTCTTTTCTTGGTTAAAATTTCGAGGTGGCATGTCAGATTCGTTTTCCGGCAAAATCCGTCTGTTTGCGGGAACCTCTTAAAATGAAAGTGAAAGTAGGGGAATTTCAGAGTTCTCACTGGCGATATAATACACAATATGTGTTGGCTGATCTTGTTGATAAATTTCATTTGCCAAGCTTTTTTGGTAGGAAATATACTCCTTATCAACAGGTGTGAGGCTCAGTTCAGAACATCTGCTCATTTTTTTATGCAAGTCTGCGAATTAAGGAATTGTATTTTTTCTGCAATACTTAATTTCTTCTCCTACCGATTCTAAAGATAATTAGTAGGATATACCCAAAATGCAAAAGCATTTTTTAGATTTAACAATATTTCACACTGTTTGTCAATCTAGAGCATAAGTAAAGACATCGATCATGCCAAATTTAATGAAAATTCAACCATAAATTAAGATTTTACAGGATGTACAGTTCTATGTGTAATACCCTTAAAAATACTCCAATCTAGCCAAAACCCCACCGAAGTTTTAAGTCCATGTTAGCCTATTAACACATTTATACCTTTCTTATTCAACTTCATAACTTTAAATACAATTGGTCAAATCATAATCAATAATTCTCTTATTTAAAAAAATTATGTATTTCCGCACAAAATATGATCATTTTTCACCATATAATTAATAGTTTCTCCAGAAATGACAAAAAAACTTAACAAGTACTCGAAAATAGTTGAATGAGAAAGTACTGATTATTTCCTATGCATTGATGTATCATTCATGAAGTTAAGTCTATGAATAAAAAAGTTATAAGCCTTTATACTCCTATATAGAATCATTTGTTTCAAGGCAATTTTATGCCAATGCAAATTTACTCATCTATGACGTCATAATGACATCATAATAGTGGAAAGCGTAATATATGTGTATCATCACTTCTCCCGTACCACTTTTCCTTGAAAGCAAAATCAGTGCTAATATATATTCATTTTAGCTATAAAAAATAAGACTATGTGGTTTTGCAGATTATATAAATATGAAATTCCTTGGTAACGATTGTGTAATTTATATGAAAATGAGACAAAACTTATGAATTTCCTTACAAATCGCATAATTTTGACTGTCACATATTTTTTATATTCTTAATAATATATTTAATATTTAATAATTTTTATATTCGTGTAACCTAAGTAATGCATAATTTTCAAAACAAAGATGTACAATGTATGTCACGTCACGTTTTAGAAGTTTCTCAGCCTAAAGCCTAAAGATTGAAATACCCAATTCTACAAATTTCTGTCCTTTTTCCATTTTTCCCCTCAAGAAAAGTCTGGGTATCCTCTTGCATCAACTTATTTTTAACTTATATTTCAAACAACTCCCAATCTTTCTATATGATGTTCAATTTCAGTAGAATTGTCAAGAAAACTACGTCAGCATACAACGTTCATTACTGCTTTTAAGGACATATGCAAGGTACCTTACCTACTGATAATTTATCAAGATATTCTAAATTAAAACTGATGATACCACGAAATTTTTTTTGACAAAAAATCAGCATGTCTTACCAGGGGTTTTGAAAAGATATTAAATTGTGAAAATGTTTACATTGTTTTAAGAAAAATGTACAAAAATTACAAAACATAATTTCCAGATTTTTTTCATCAAATATTGTTTTAGAAGAGGTGTACAAATCAATTTATAGACAATGTATTGTACACAGGTCCTTCAGTTAGTGAAACTCTTAAACTGCAGGGAAGAACCTAATAAAGTTCAATCTACATTGCGTATGACCTGAATTTGTCTAGGGGGATAAATACTTAAACCAGAGCCTCCAAAAGACGGTCACATCTTTAATCATACTTGGACAGACGTCGATCGGATTGCCCTAGGTTTGTCATATCACATACGATTGCATACTTTGATACTTGTGAGTAAGTCTTGAAATAGAGATGATCTGTGAAGGACGTCACTCTATAATGAAAACAAAGGCTATTTGATACCTTCATGGAGTCTAAAGGTGATATATAATGGAATGTAAGACGCCATTCCGAACGTGAGTCATGTGACTACAATTTCTTGCCTCCTCAAAGAGATTTTGCTTCAAAAACATATTGCTCTAAATCATTCAGTCTATTTAGCAAATCAGAAAGAGAAACATCTTTACTGTCCCAGGTATTGGTACTGACGGACAAGGACACCGACAACATGAAACCTGCAAAGAACAACATATTGAATTAACACATTTTACACGCATGTTGATCCTCATAGCAAGCAGGTTATATCAGTGTGTTAAAGTATTGAACTCTCGCCTAACAATCATGTTATGATAAGGAGTAACGAATTGGAACTCTATACTTAAATGGACATAAAAATGTTATGATTGCCTCTTAACATTAGAAGAGAAGATTATCAAAGAACATCAAAACAATAAGAATCTCTTATCAATTCTGCAGAACAGCTATCATTTGTATTCTATATAATATAGGACCTCTTAACACTATATACTATATCTCGCATATTGAAATGTGAATGAAACATACGGAGAAAACGAGCAATATTCAAGATTAAAAGTCCATACAACAATACGAAATGAGAGCAAAGCAAACAAGGACTTCAAAAACTTCCTAGATGGGATCAGGTGCCATGGAGGAGTGAGCATTCCCTGCCGACCGGACACAACCATCGTGTGTCCCTTGTCATGATCCGTAAATAACGGGAAAATCCGTCATCAATTAAGGATATAATAATGGAACCAACAATTTAGCTCTATAATCACCGACATGTTTTTTTTTAAAATACTACAAACTTAAATACACTTTTAAGTGCGCTCTTTCTTGAAATCATATAAGAAGCCTCCACAGAAGGAAACAACTGTGAAAAAAAAAACATGTAAAAGTACTATCATCAATAATTCTAAATTGATGGTCAAATGTTAAAGTTTCATATAGTTCTGAGGATTTATTATTTTTTGCGTGTAGCTGGGGGACCTGTAATACCGATGACAGGTATCCCGAAAGGTTGGAAGGGGGAGTCAAATTCATTCCATTTCCGAAACCAGCAACAAATTTGGAAAAATGCAGAAGGTGGATTCGACTTTGCGGAAGGCCTTCATATCAACTTAATGAGGATATTTTAAGAGACCGAAATAAATCCAAGCACTTTTATGTGTGCACAAAGGTAATTACTGTAGAGCTGAATGAATTGATTTATTTGTATTTTGTTATGTTATGAAATATACAGATACTGTAGGGATGGGGACAGGGCTGGATATCAGCTTGTTATAACATGAGGAGAGTCGTTTACCTTTAGACTGTATCTGTATTAGTATAGCACAGTGACTAATAGGAGTGAAAGCACAGAATTTCATAATCATATTTTTACTTTTTTGCAAATGTACATGTATTGAAAGTTTAAGCGACTGATTGAATAACAAAATAACATTTTAAATTACCACAGCATTTTATTGACGGGGGACAGTCAGAGAAATACCCCGACCCACTGCCAGCTCTACAACATGACCGAGTCACCCCAAGCAGACCAGCACCAAAGAGACGCCAATCATTTGATTGTCTTAATGACAACTCAAAACCAAAGAGGGTTTTGAAGGAGATCAGGTACAAATATTGATAAGAGTATATTTTTATATTGGAAGTAAACAACATTATATACTAACTATAAATAATAAATATCACAGGGAATAGTTGCTCACATAATAGTCATGCTATTTCCTAATTTAGTTGAAAGTCGTGCAAAAATTACATAAATATCACTTCATGTGCAGTGTTGTCCCTAAGGTTTGAAAAAATAGGAGGGAACTTTGAAAAAGTAGAAGGGTCTGGAGTTCCTCCCCAAGAGGGTACTGAGGGGGATACCAGTATAACCAGGGGGATATGTCATTATTGGCTGGGAAATTCCAGGAGTACAAGTACAAAATTATCCATTTTTTCTTTTATAACTTTTATGTAAAGTTTTCTTTCCACAATATTTAGGTGATTTGTTTTTCGAGTAAATTTAAAAGTTAATGCGAGCCAATTTTTTTCTCTGTATTTAAAATTTGAGAAATTAAAAATTATTGAAATGATTAAAATTTTGTGTAGGGTGAATGAAAATGGAGAGCAAGAAGTTCAACACATAGAGGATGTGACTGTGCCTCATCTAGAAATAAGCAGCACTACTGCCATCTCGGAAAACTGTCAACCTCAAAAAGAACCAATAAACCCTACTGGTATGATTGTTTATTTTTTTGATTCAAAGTATGGTTTAAAGTGATTAACATACACATCACTTAATTTTCTCAACAATGAAAGCATAGTATCAATGCATGGATATATGCGTTCAACAGATATTTCTTGTCTTGTGTAAGTTACAAAATCACAAAAGGGTGCACCAGTTACCAGTAACTGACCTTGAACTTGGAACCAGTGAGAATGTGACCTTTTCAATGTGTAATTGGAGCCAGAAATTTCTAGGAAAAAATTTGTTTGTTCCTCACAGGCTTCCTTGAGAGTACAATCCCTAACCGAATATGGACATTTAATTTCAAGAATACCCGTTACAGATTTTTCGCAAACTTTGGCATCAGGTGATGCACCCAAAAAGGGGAAAAGGGGATTTACCACTAGCCCAACATCATGTATGTGGTTCCCAGAACTTTTGATGTACATTTGTTTTGCTGTTTTTTCGTTAGATTGTCCATACGATGTTGGGGCTGATTTAAACATTTTTTTGTCAAATGTATTTTTAATGAAAGTGTCATTTATCTCCTTTTTTCTGTTCATGACAGGGCCAAAATTTGAGGCTGTGATTCGGCATTTCCTTTCAGCAAACCATATCGCACTGTTGTTCTGGTCTTTGGTGCTCCGCTCGATCTCGGCACATTTTTCAAAGGATGTATAAAGCTCTTGCCAGTGGGGTTGCATTTCACATATTTTAGTACTTTCAAGGTTAAGCATCATGTAAGGTTTAGGAAAATCAATTTGGCCACATATATCTGCTCCATCTGGCCGAGGTTGCTCGAGGGGTGTTATCAAAGGAGCCTAGGTACAAATTTGTAAATTATTAATTAAACCATCTTTTATTTTATTTCAGTGATCAACAGCCTTGATGTTTTGGCTATGGCTGCTGAGAAGAGGAAGTTGGAAGAAAATATACTGTCCCTTAAAGAGGAAAACATCAAATTAAAGTGTGAAACTAGAAAATTAGAAGATGACTTACAGAAACAATGTAATATGAGATTTGATAACTTGAAAACAAATGAATTTAAATATTATACAGGGTTTGAATTAGCAACATTTAATGTTATATACCAGTTTTTAGTCCCTGTAGATAAGCCATTTAAATACTCAAAAAACATTAGTTGTTTAAGAAATCTCAGTATGAAGGATCAATTGTTATTTGTTTTAATCAAGTTACGACAAAATTTTGATTTCAAACATTTGTCTCGGCTCTTTGGAATTTCTCCTCAAGACTGTAGTGTTATTTTTAATAATTGGATAAACTATATGTTTTATCGCTTTGGGTCAGTACCAATTTGGCCAGACAGAACTGTTATTATAGAGAAAATGCCAAGGAAATATAAAGAGGAATTTCCAAATACCCTTGTCATTATTGATGGTACTGAAATAAAAATTCAAAGACCTAGTTCTTTAACAAAACAAAGTCAGTTTTACTCAGACTATAAGTCCAGTACAACACTTAAAGGATTAGTTGGTGTTGATCCCAGGGGATCTATAATATTTGCTTCAATGTTATTTTCAGGGTCAATATCTGACAATGATATTACTCATCAGAGTGGATTTTTTTAATGTTTTAGAGGAAATGATGGAAGCAGGTAAAATACACAAAGATGATGGAGTTATGGCTGATAAGGGTTTTCGTATTGAAAATGATCTAGAAAAGATAGGGCTTAAGTTAAATATACCACCATTCTGTCCTGCATCTGGCCAGATGAAAATATCGGATGTTATCAGATCAGTTAAATCAGATCTGGTTTGTCTGTTGTTTTTGTTTTCTTTTTTTTTTTTTTTACAAATTTCATGCCTTTCCTTATTCAGGATTGAGCACTGATTTAATTTACTTGCTTACATGATATGATAATCCTGATCCAAGTGGTTGTTGGGATTGACCAGCATCAATCATCTGGTTGGGTTCAGACACAAGGTATGAGATGGGTGTAGATGAAAGATTTTTTAATAAGGCGATGTCAGGTTCATCCAGTTCTACACTCCTTTAAAATTAAAATATTTCAATACATACACTATTTATTTTGTAAATGATATTGTCAGAATATTAAAAAAAAAAAAATAATGTAAAGGAAAAGAAAAGGGAATGAATTTTATTCTGTTCTTTTTTTTTTAAGTTTTGATTGTATGTATTAACTATTGTATTTATAATCATATATATTTATAAATATATTTATACATGATGTATTTATAATTATGTAGCTATTGTAATACCGGTATAACTATTACATTACATTTTATTAACTGATGCTGTTATGTTACATAACTGACACTATACTGTTTAAAAACATAAATTGAACAGAATTTATTGGTGTTCTACCTGTTGTCATTATACATGGCCATAACTGGTTTTCTCTTTCTATTAACATTACCAGGCCTGGCTATCACAATTTGTGAAACTGGTTCAGCTTGAATCTTGGGGCCCCTTGGTTTATCCCATTGTTGGGGAAGGCTTGTTGACGAGGGTTCTGCTGGAATTGCCTTGTACCCATTAATTTTCCAGGATTCAACCATTAATATTATTGCTAGAACATGTGCACATTTTCCACCAGAACTTAAAAGTCGAAATTACTGGAGAGATTTGTGGGACGACCATTTGATTGGGGAAGGGGGGGGGCAATATTTTTTTGCGAGTCAGATTATTTATTTTCATGTATGTGAAGGACAGATTATTTATTTCCAATGGCAGAATTTTTATTCTCTTTTCTAGAAAAAGTCTTTCAAGCAAAAAAAAAAAAAAAAAAAAAAAAAAAAAAGGGAAAGAAAGACAGAAAAAGGAAAAACAGCGTCGACAACTTTTATGTTGTGGGGGGTAGCTGGACAGATTAATTTATTTTCGTCCAGTATGCCTAGAAGGACAGAGGACATATTATTTCCAAAATCAGATGATCGCCCCTTTATTCCATAGAAACTAAAAGTCATGACAATGTCGTATGAGTTTTGTATTATTGCAGATTTATCACAATGCAAATTGAATTAAAGTTTTTTTGCTGTAATTTATTATTTACCCAGCTTTGCAGTCGCAATGTGCGTCTATAATCTGCTTTTTGTCTTCGTCCACATCGATGTTGATAGTGTGAGGGGACTCGGATTTTCTCATACTACGATAAACTTTACCAGAAAGGGACAATAATGTATCAGTTTTAAATATTTTAAGGGAATGGATGTATGAACCCTTCGTAAAAGCATTTGCCCTCTGTTTTTGACGCAAAGTGGGTTCATAAGGCAAATATTTTGCTGTAAAATCGTCGGATACTTGGGACAAGTCAACCGGCGTCGACTTGCTCGCCATGTTGCTGATGTCGGAACATCGTTAGAGTTATCTCCCATAGCGCGGTGGGCGGGGCTTGGCGGTACGTTAATTGTAGTCTTTGCTCTAAATCATTCTCAGTTTTCTTAGCAAATTAGACAAGGAAACGGTTTGACTATCCCAGGTCTTCGCGCCGACGGCTGTAGAAACGGACAACAGCAAGATTACAAAAGAAAACATAGTCAGTCATTCAGAGGGTGATTGTACTTTATCATGCCAAACAGCATATTATATAATATATACAGTGTATCTGTGTCACAGCATTGAACTATCACTTGTCAGTCACGTAATGATAAGACAGATATAAAATTAGAACTCTGTTACTAAAATAAATTTAGAAACATGATAGTTCTTTTGTATTCTTGGTTAAAGACAAAAGATCATTATTGTTGTTTCTTAAATAACACTTGAAAAAATTACTCGTGAATATGAAAACAGTCAACATATTTCATGTATTATAGAACGTAAAGTCATAAAGCATCACAATCTATAAAATCTTAAACATTAATGGGACTCTTGATTTATAATACGTGCGATTTCTTATATCTTTTTATGGATCATGATGACTTCAAATAAAATAAATGGTGATACGCATAGCATTCAAGGTCTAATCAACATGCAAACAATACAAATAAGGAACTAGATGTTCGCACTAAGGTGTTTCCCTCTAAATTCACACTCCTTGATATTGGGCTTACCAAGGGAAAAGACAAAATACACAGGTATGTTAAGGTTACAACCAAATATTCTACTTTCCTATATGATATGACGTCATAGTTAGCTATATGACCTGAAGTTTAGAAATAAGAATTTCTTAAAATCGATATCTAAGATTGATTTGAGGTCGTAAAAATTAATCAAATATGCAGAGGCATAATATAAACGGAATTAATTGTGTCGTTTCTGGGTCCCTGTAGTTTTCACAGGGGATAAATACCAAACCCGTGACGTTATAACTGTTGATCATGCAGTAGCAGAGTGAAAGTGAAACTAACTAGAATTCATGTAAACAATCACAAGAAATTGGAGTTTAAAAGTATTTAGAATGCATATCATGTGTGATTCATGTGGGAATAAAGCTTGTGAATAAGCTTTGCTAATATAATTCTACAATTTCTTCGTAAAATTAAAGCAGGCAGGGTGTTTACTTGCCGATCAGCCCTTCCTCTGTAATTCGTAACAGAAAAATAGCAAAAATTCAACACTACGCCGCATACATTGAAACTTTATTTTTGTTTCTATCCTAAGTTCTTATTCTATTGTTTTTTTGGAAAGCGCTGCTAGAATCGTATGGTTTATGGGAATTTATGTATTTTTTTTATGTATGTTATGAACAATATGTAAAATTTTGGGAACGTTTCGTCTTAAAGTGATGAATAATTATTTCTGTGATAGGACAGTTGGATTCTAGCAGCACTTTTCGTGGTACAGAAATGCTTTTCGATAACTATAATTACAAATTTAGATTAATTATCCCCGGGGTAGTGTTGAACTTTTCACTCTTCCTTTAAGGCATATTTTTTAATTATAGACGTCACGTGGGGACGTCGTGGTGAAGTGCTTCCTATTATCTCCTGATCGTTTTTATTAGTCCCATTGACGTATATAGAATGCATATTTATAGCAAATGTTTTATCCTTGACTTTTCAGAATTATTAGTGATACATAATAATAATACATTCATGTAGGCCTATGAAGTCCACGTACCGCTCTTTTATTTAATTAAGTGATCTCTTGTCTTTAATTGGATAACCGGTCAGATAAACCTGTTTCCCATACTTATGCTTGTGAATTTTCATCGTTAACATTTTACTTTCCTATTTACAGGAGTCATATCCCGCTAAACATTGAGTTGCTTGATAATTTGGTGTTCCACATTACCGCTTAACGTCACCATTTTTGACAATGTCTAATTTAAAGTGATGTTGCATAGATCATTATATATTAGTCATTAATGATGTCAATTAAATTAATTTTTAAACACGAATACACCAAATTATAGGGAATTTATATAGGTAAAAGTTGTGACATTATATTGCCGTATACCCTGCTAACAAAGAAAATTTAGTTGACAATGTTATTTGTGAGAATCAAACAATTGTCGTGCGCCGACCACCGATATTAAATATCTTTTAAATGTTGTTTTTGTCAAGGGCCTATACTAATCTGTCAAAATATTTAAATGATAATTTTTCAACAATTTGCTAAAAAGTACTAGTTTTTGTAGACTAGTTTTTGGAATATTAAAAAAGTTCGCGTTTTTCTTGGACAACAATAGTATATTTTATAAACAAATCTTCTATACTCCTCCTATCTATATATATGTATAGCAGACAAAAGAGATGTCCTCAATGATGACAAAGGGATAAAATGTTCTTGTTGAAAGGGAAATCTCTATTATTTGTGAACTTCTTAAAAAATGCCTGCTGTTGCCTGTTGATAAAACGTATGTTTTGAATGAATGGTAATAATAAGAAAAATGCCTCGTCCAAATGAATGTGAAATTCATAAATATGATGCAGTTTATAAATCAGTTGCTTAAAGTGGATGCTTTTTAAAATTTTTTTTCTTTTCCTCTAATAATAATAATGCCCATCTTTGAAGCATTTGAGCTTCGGAATTTACTACTCTGCTAATTCTTATTATTTAATTCTTAGTTTTAATTACAAAGAAATTGTCAAAGTTAGTCTGATTTCAACGAAAACTGTAAATATGTTTATCAAGTGAATTTCCATACGGAGACAAAAGAAATTTTAATCTGGCATCTTGAGAGCAGAAGTAGAATCAAGTGCCATTCAGGCGTGAACATCCCCTGCTGATCAGTCACACCCCTTGATACGATCGGCAAAAACTGGAAACGTCCGCACACAAGTACAACTAGTCTTATTAGACTAGTACGAGGCAGTTCAAAAATTACGCGGACTTGTTGCACAGAAAAAATATTTGACGACATAATCGGCCAAAATTTCACACATAACATAAAAGAATCTTTACTTATATGGTCTTCAAAATTTCATATAAAAATATTATGAATATATATCAATTTTGGTTGATAAATCATGACATATCATTAAGTCTTGGAGCAGCAAAATCTTTGAAGTCACGTTCATTAAAAAATTTGAGATTTAAATTCATTTTTACAACATTTACCCAGGAGTTTCTGCAGAGTTTGAGTTACCTACATACACCATTTCTTGTCAAGTTTAAATTATACATTTTTAAAACAAGTAAACATATTCATTTTTGTTTTAAAACCAAAAATTGCAGGTACTTATGAGATATATTGTAATTTAGGTCACTCTCAATCATGCTCTTTACGGTCCAGATCAAGTTTTCGTCGATTATCTTTTTTCCCATCCTCACGTATAGCCTCTCTACAGACGTTTAACGGTCTAAAATTACAATCTGCTAAATGTAGACAAGTGTCATGAATACCCTAGTTTACTATATGTTTCATATGCATATTTGGATCTATGTTGACGACATCTCGAGCATTACACATAATTTAACAAAAGTGTGGTGCTCCGTCAATTCAGGAGACGTCATTTTCACAGGAATCGCATCGGAGAAAAATCATTTTATTTCTTTTAATACTTCAAATATCACATCATAAATCAAAATACATAGTATAAGAACAATATAAAGAATCATTTGAGAACATTGTCGAAAAATATCGCGAATTAGAGAAAATTAATGAGTCTAATTTTTGACTCCGCATGTTAGTGTTTCAAATTTTGGGTCGTGCTCCATCAGCGATATCAACATAGGAAAATTTTTGGAGAAATTTAAAAAAAAAGATAAAGAGTCCGCGTAATTATTGAACGACCCTCGTAATAAGTACATATTCTAAGGTTCTTACAGAATTTTATCATGTCCATAAAGTAAATCTTATTATAACTTTAATGTATATAAATCATATTAAAATAAAGATATTTAGAGGTTGGTTTACATTAAGACTTTTTAGTATTGATAGAAAAATATATTGGAGACTTTAAAAATTCGGTTAATACAGTTTCCATCCTTTGAATGAGGATGGGTAAGTGGAACAACTAGGAATAGCTCCGCCAACAGGGTCTTGAGGATGTGTGCGGATGTATACAACATCTCCTAGGTTGATCTCCACAACAACGACACCCGTTGTGTGTCTGAGACTCAGTGCTCCCTGGCCATCACAATACATAGCACCAGCAGCGTTTGAGTTAACAACAATTTCTGAATAAATATATCCATCAGAAATGCAGTATAAAGTCCAGGAAAATGTGTATACGCCGTTTACTGGACTAGAGAAGATTCCCATGTGACGATTGTAGTATCCACCGACGTTTGTTATAACGTGGTCAAATATGATTGTTTGGTGCTGTCCTAGACTGCTTTCATCATGCGACATATAAGCGTAAAATGCAACACCACCTGTATAGATACATGTTTTACGTGAAAACGGAAATAAAACAAATATATAAAAAAAATGGTTTCTTTAGAGTTAAAAATGAAAATGTTTTGAATAAATTCATTCTTTGTCGTTTTTCCAACTACTTGAACTTATATTTTATCTAGAAACATACCTATGAAAGACTTTTTTCTAGGCTCATCGTTCATAGAATTCAACGGAAATTTGTTAGGACTAGAGGAAGCAATAGATATCTTTGATTTTAGATTTAAATGCATCCTGTATAGAGAACTGGTGTCTTCACTATTGGTAATTTGTTTCCATATGCAGCGTTTAATCCTTCATTTTCACCGCATTTCCTGGTATCAATAGATCTGTAAATCTCTAACATGCCGTCATCTTTCACTTTTTATTTTCATAGATTAATATTTTTATGATCCTTTCTTGTTCTGCATTTAGTTTTTCTTGCACGTGCAATCTATGCTCTAAATTATTCAATTTTTCTAGCAAATCTGAGAGAGAAAAGGTCTTGTTGTCCCAGGTATTGCCACTAGCTACCGAAGACACTAAAAATAGGAAAACAGCACAGGAAATCATATTGAGTTAACCCGAAGTATATACTGCACCAAGACAGAAAGCAGCATATATACGTCAGCCATATTTTATTGAACTTCACCTGACAGTCATGATAAGGAATGACTTCATGACGAGGAACATCGAATTAGAACTTTAATAATAAAAATGACTTCTATTTGGGCCATTTATGTCTTGTTGTATGAAATCGCGATTAATAGTACGTTAATTCGACCCTGAAAAAGTACTTCAGAACATCAAAACAGTCAAAATTCCTTTCCACTATGGTTGATATAGCTTTACATTCCCTTTACACTTTTTAAAATTCAGATACCTGCACAAGATATATTTTGCTTAAACATAAAATCTCGCATATTTACCCTATTTTGTTTTTATCACAAATTTTGTCACATTTTAATTTTTTAAAAAAAGTTTGATCAAATATGTTCAAAACTCATATAATTTTCCACACTTAATAATTGTTTGTATATTATACTTATGTATGTGTAATTTATTCTTTCTGAAAAAAGTGAGTCATCGCATTTGATAACTGTATAGATTAAGTTATGAATTTGATAATTTCTGTATTTTCAAAAATACTTCCCACATAAAAAAAAAACAAAGATAAAAAGAAATGTTTAAAATTGCATTTATTCTTGATTGAATTCAATTTGTTCTTATGTCTTTTCTAATTTCAAAATGGCATTGTTTGTCAATTCCTATACTTCTTATAATGTACATTTATATATTTAAAAAGTCATGAAGTTGCAAAAAGATTTTTTGAGTGAGTAAAGAGGGTTGATTAAGCGAATGATTCGATTATATATTTTGCATCAACACTTTACGTATTATACTTAAACTCAAATTTGTTTTAATATCGGTAGGAAATTGATTACAAGAATCATTCTCCTGCATTTTTCGATGATGAGAAAAAAGTTCTCTTGAATCCTATGCCCTTACGAACGAGGGGTTGGTTGTTTTTCTCTTCTTCGTAAAAATAATTACATGTTTTATGATAGCAAGCTGGTTAAGATACAGATCCGGATTTTTATTATTTCAGGTAGAAGAAAGGGCTGGGATGTGTGTTCAAAATATTTAAAGTCGTTGTATCCACCTTTGATTTTTTTTTTCTGTCTAATAATATACCGATACATGTATTAACGTAACCTACATGCACTATCATATTTCAGGAATGTCAAAGAGAACAAAAGACGCCTAGTTCTCACGGAGTTTCTACTTCATTTATGTGAATGAGGAGAACAAAGATTTTTCCTTCGTAAATTGGAACATGGCATATACACGTCTCTACGCATGCGTTGTGAAAATCATGTTTATCGTTAACATATAAACATTACTTCTTTTATACTGTGAATATTGGAATAAAGTTTGTATCATTAGATGGAAAAAAATATTGCAAAAAGAAGGTTTTTCTCATTTGATTTATCAGTTTTTTAAAAAAAGAATTTTGAGTAAAACAACATGTATTATTTCAGTTATTCCATTGCAATTAAATCCATGTGGTGTAATCACTTATCCATATTTTGTGGCAAAATATGTTTTGTCAAAATCAGAGAGTTTATTCAATTAGATAAGTAAAAAAATGGTTATGCAGTTAAGAATGAAATTAACACGTTTGAGGTATTCAAAATGCTGGTATTTTTATATATATATACATTAGTATTAAAAAAAATACAAGAAATATCAGAAAAAATGCATTAAATCTTGATAGCAATTTGTCTTAAAATGCTAAAACCTTTGTCATGAAATGCCGGACCATTTTATAAATTAACTGAACTTAGCTCTTTAACGACCCTTTTTGCCTCAGATATTTTGTATCCCACTTTCCTTCTACTTTGTAATGTTTTATTGACCTTTAAGCTTGATTACTGTTCGTTATCTCCACATATTTAATAGTTTGATATGTTGTCAAATATCAATTTAAGAAATGTTTGAACTTTCAGAGTTTTTTTAAGGGTTTTAGTTCATGTTTCTCTAAAGAAAATCTACATTTTTAAACGGGAAAAAGTTTATTTGTTTATCATATTAAAAATAAATAAATAAATAAAAAAAGTCATTAGGTTCCAAAATGGTTCTACGTATTATCATTTTAGTATTTATATTAAGACTTGTGTTATATATTAAAAATGTGTAACATTTAAAAAATAAATTTGCACCGGGGCATTTTAGGTCATTAGGATACATGAAGACGTTTATTATTCTGTGATATAGTTTCCATCCGCTGAATAAAGTTCGATAGGAAGATGTACAATGAAGGAATCCGCAAATACTGTAATCGGAATGTGCTCGGGTGCATATGGTATTCGCTTGACTAATTTCTACAACGATGATAACTGTCACACACCTGTCGTATATCTTTATTTACTGTAGTGACTTTTTCGCTACTTCAATACATTCAACCAATGGCATTAGAGTTAACAACCGTTTCTGAAAGAAATATCCGCCAGGAGAGTTGTATGAAATCCATGACAAATATGTACACCGCGTACACTGGGCAGAGGAATATCCTACTTATGCGATTGTAGTTTCCATCGATGTTTGTTATAATGTTTCAAAGGTGAAAGCTCATTTTTTTAAATTTTGTCATTCAAATAATTGTTTAATTATTCTTACGCGCTGTCGTTTTTCCTTAATTTTTAAAAACATGGGGTGATCATTCAGTACAAATAAACTTTTTAGCTGTATAACGGTTTCTTTAAAGCAATGTGAACTACCCCCTAAAAAGATACCTTTCAATTTTGCTATGTGTCTTAAAGCCAACAAAACATCGTCAGTGATACATGTAATTTGTTGCATTTTAGCAAACAGTATACTGGTTGTTGTAAGTCTTTGTCACCAAGGACAGTATGTATTTTTAATGCCAATTATAAAATTATATTTATTTTTAATGCAGTGTCTCCAATGTTTATTGTTTTCCAGATTAGAACTATGTGATGAAAAGTGGTCAAATAAACTGTAATATTTTCATTTCTAATTTTTTTGCTCTTAGATAACTCTTTAAGAATTGCCGGAGTTTATATCTTGATAATTTTGCCGGAATGTAAATTAGGGAGATCGATAAGTCAGGAGCTAAGGAGGCCTAAAATGCATGCAAATCTCGTGCGCATCTGTCTCTGTGTCTGACGTTAAGGAGGCAGAATGTGCATGTAAATCTTGCTGCCTATGTGTTTGACGTCATTGGGCGAGGACTATTGAAATTGCATAAGTTTTTGTCTGCATTTTTAAAGTCTACATTTACCATTTTATTGAACAGTTAAATGAAAATTGAGGAATCACTGTCTTATTAGGAGAGTATGCCAGGGACATCAACACTAGTGGGAAACATGGGATAATTCTAACATAACGGGGCTTCGCCCGTTATGCAAATTATCCAATGTTTTCCACTATTGTTGATGCTCTGGCATACTCTCCTAACTAGACAGCAATTCCTTAAATCAATTTATGAAAGATGCGGTCATGAGACGAAGTCAAGTAGTATGTCATATGATTTCTATGCTGTATGTCATAGAGCTCATAACATTATTTATTGAACAGCCCTCGTAATTTTTCACTCATTAGTGAAAAATTGCATTTCTATGATTTCTTATGGTAAACAGTGCTGTGTAAATAACTACTAGTATTCATGTTTATTGGATGGTTGGTTAAAACATCTTGGAATAGATAAAGAATGCCTATGTAATGATCTGATATAAAATCAGTAAATCATTCTTTGTCTTCGTTTCATCTAACATGTATTTACACTTTTCAATGGAGCTTACATTGATTATGCTTAACATTTCTAGTTAAATGACTTATCCACGGATCTAGTGCACCCCCTCCCTTCCAAAAGATTTTTCACAATGAATAATTGAGAGTAAAGGTGCTTTATTTTTGTAGATCATGAGGAAGCGGTTTCTATAATAAATGACCTTAAACTGACAAAGCTACATGCTATAAAATCACATATTTTCGTATGATCAATTGTTCGAAGTTTGATGAGAGAAAATTGGTTTGGCAGGATTTGATTACCAGGTAGGAAAATTTAGAATTAATGTGTATGTAAAATTTAACATTTCGCGATGGTTATAAATGCGTGGATCTCTCAATGTTTCGAAAACATAAACGTATACGTAGGGGTTATAAGGGGCATACAGATTATTATATCTTGACCTATTCAGTGATACATTATGACATCATAACAGGCGGTCATTTTTAAAACAAAAGTTTTCATTTTAATGGTAATTAGAGATGTAATTAAACTCTAGAAAATAAATTGAGCAGTGCAAACAATAACATGAATAAATATTTTTTCTGTATCTGTCACTTTTCATCATTTTTCGACCCCCATTTGACCCCCGGGGCAAAATCAAAATTCCAAAACCTTACTGCACATCTAAATAACACCACCAACCACCTCTCTAAAGATGATTAGGCTACTGTGTAAAATTTAGGAGGAGTTCAGGGAAGAAAAGTGTGTCAAACAAACGGACGCACATGAGTAACAACAATATACCCGAACTTTCTTGAAAAAGTGCGGGTATAAAGATGGATATCCAGTAAGACGTGCTTTGATGATATACATGTTCCCTAAGATTGGGATACAATTTTGTTTTATTGATCTTCAAAATACACCAAAAGACTTTCCTCATTTGATTAAAAAAGATTCCATCCGCTAAATGAAGATCGATAGGCAGAATAACTATGAATACGTCCGATAAGGTTGGCACTAGGATGTGTTCGGATGTAGACAGCATCCCCTTGATTGACCTGCACAACAACGACACCCGTGGAGTGTCTGATACTGCTTGCTCCCTCGCCATTACAAAGCATGGCTCCAACGGCATCAGAATTAACAACAATTTCAGAATAAATATATCCACTAGAAGAGCAATATAAAGTCCACGAAAATGTGTACACTCCATCCATTGGACTATAGAAGAACCCCATGTGATGATTGTAGTTTCCACCGACGTTTGTAATCACGTGGTCAAATATGATTATTTGGAGACGATTTGGATTACTCTCACTATCTGACAAATAAGAGTAAAAGGCAGCACCGCCTGTATCAAAATAAAATCATAAATTAACTTCTATTCATAATAATAATTAATACTAAACTGAATGAATTGCTCAACATTTTGTTTACCATTTCCGCCCCCCCCCCCCCAAAAATAGAACTAGTATTTCGAAGCACATACCTGTAACAGCTCTCCTTTTGGGTCCATTGTTTTTGAAGTCCACCAACATTTTTTGGCAACAATTTTCAACACTAGAGTGTTCATCGGATATATTCAAATGCGATTTTGAATTTGATAAATGCATCTTATGTACAGTATTGGTTTTCTCTCCAGTGGTATTGCTATTTCCAGGGGAATGGGTAAATCCTTCACTTTCATTAAGCTTTTTGATATCAACAGAAATGTCTGTCTTTGGCATTACAATATTTTTAAGGTTTATATTTTCAATAATCAAACGTTTGATGACCGCTTCTTGTTCTCCGTTAATTCGTTCTTGTATTTGCAGTCTTTCCTCTAAATCATTCAATCTTTTTAGCAAATCAGAGAAAGAAACAGTTTGACTGTTCCACATATTAGTATTGGCGGCAGCAGACACAGAAAACAGGAGAACTGCAAGGAAAATCATACTGTATTAACAGTAAGAGTGTAACAATTTCACATAAATTGCAGATTATATAAGCGTTCCATGTTATTGAACTATCGCCTCACAGTCACGTATTGATAAGGATTATCTAATAAGACTATAATGCTAAAATAACTCAAGGAATAGAAAATACTTTTTTTTTATAGTTATTAGAGATTGGAGACAGAGGGACAATATTTTTGTCTCAAAACATGACTGTAGAAGAATACTTATGAACATCAAATATGTTGTCATCCATAATTCACAGTGACTGGTAGGGTACCGTATTATGCTAGAACTCGTTTATAAAGATAAAACAAATCACTGGGGATTCCAAATTCCCTGCATATTAAAAAAAAAAATTAAAATTCCATATAAAAGGACAAGAATTGGAATTACTGTTCAGTACTTGTGAACCAAAAGTTTTCTCTTTTTAAAAGAAAATAATAATAATAATAATAAAGTTAAGTATCCATCTCCCGACCGTATATCTTAAAAATTTCTGAGACTTAACTCAAAGCCTTGTTTAACCTGTAGGATTATTTATGCATTCCTTAAAACAGATATTAAAATTTTAATGTCATCGTATCTTTTCTTCTAGCATTATGACATTATTTTCACTTTATAAAATCATAGTGACATGAAGTTACAGAAACGTTTATGAGTAAGGAGGGACTAGGGCTTGGCAATAATATCGATATTTCAATATATTGCAATACTATGGCAAAAAATATCGTATCGCAATACGATGTTGTAATATCGATATATTGGCAATATGCTTAGATTAAGGAATTTTGTCATACCCAGCCCTAAGAGAGACGATTGAAATTTGATGGATATCTGAGTTTTTAATATCCTTAATTAGAAATTATATTATATTCTATTTAGATTTGCAATATATTCTAGATATCATTTAGAATAACATTTTTGTAGAACATAATTTCTATGGGTTCTTTTGTCTACAAAGGTTATTTTTCAAATGTGTAGAATTAAGACAAAAAGACTTACACGCAGAACCCTATTCTGGATTGATGGGGTGTTTAATTTTTTTTAATTGCATATTTTTCAATGTTGGATCGGAGTGCAAAAAAGCAGATGAAAAAAATGACTTTTATATAAACAGGGGATATCATAACAAATTTATATCAATTTGATACAGATATAAATAAGAAAATGAGCAGAGTTTCTGTACGCTCACTACCCACGAAAGCGGAGGATATGAAAGGTTTCCCCTGCGTCTGTGTATCTGTCCGTCTGTCTATTAGTCTAGCTGACCTTCTGTCTGTCTTTCAGTCTTGCTTTTATGCACTTTTTTAAATGCATTTGAGATTATATGTTAAACTTGTCGGGAACTTTTATAGTGGCAGACTACAGATGAAAGATATCACAGAATGAAACATCTATTTCATACTTTGATATTTTACACTGTACTTGAAAAAGACGTGAACGAAAATGTAACAACGAAGATTTATGATAAACCTAATGACATTAACTTTTCTATTGTTAACTTCCTTACTTATGCAGCAATATTCCTTCATCACTTGCATAAGAATTTTATATATTTCAGTTAATTCGATACCCAAGAGCATGCTCTACGTATGAACAATTTTTTAAACGAGGTAAATTATTGACAAAAAAGTGAAAAAAATAATATCATCAGTTTCGTTTGACGTCATCATTTCGTAGGTTCTTTGGCGATACAATGATCTTGTCAGCAAAATATAATTTCTCATTGAATGCTGACTAACGTTTCTCATACTAATTGTTAGTCCATTATATTCTATACACCGATTTGATTACGGATTTCCCCGTTATTTACCGATCATGAAAATTAGCACACAGCAGGTAAGACCGGTCAGCATGGGATGCTTACTCATCAATGGAACCTGATCCAACCTCTGAGTACATGATATCCACTTTCTAAACGTAGTCTTTTGTCCTAATTTTTTATTTTACGACATATTATTTCCAAATTTGGTAGAAATGTTTTAACAGCAATGTTGAATAATTTGAGTAAAATAATTTGAATATATCTTCATATCCATAAAAATATCCAAGATTTTGAACAACAAAAATGGGGTCACGATGCAACGTCAAAATTGAGTTACTAAAATTACTTATTTTTATAGCCATACCTCAAATAAATGGAGTAGAAACGAAATAAAATTCACTTGTTTAAATTAGATCTTGATGCATTACTTAAGATGCTATCAGGTAATGTAATTTATCGCCCATTTAAAAAATATCAACTTCTAAATAAACATATTGACTTGATTGAAAGGCAAAGACCATGACAGTAGCAATAGAATTTTGCTTTGAATTCGGAAAAACTTCTTTAAAAAATTTCTTTGTAAACCAGGATATCCATAAAAATAAGCCTTGTATTAGTACAGAATTTGTACAAAATGAAAATTACTATTTTTGAGTGAAAGTGAATTTGAATCAAACGATGGATGCAAAGAAACAGGTCAAAGTATAAAATCTTGTCAAACATTATGTGCGCTTCACTGTTGCAGAACTAAAAAAAAATAAAGCGGTAAAAGAATTTGAAAACATTGACAAACTACACTGTATGTCAAGATATTCGCACAATTGTTATTAAAGTGGGCTTTTAGTGTCATGGATACAATTTTTTCTGAATGCAGAAGATACATTTTATACGATAGAAACCGTATATCAACTTGAAATGCAGAGCAACTTTGAAAAGAAAACTTCTCGACGTTGTTGTTGTTGTCGTTACAACGTTGGTTCCGTGGAAACAAAACATTTTTCTTGAAAAATTGACTGACATGAGTTCTATTTAATCAAATGGAATGAATCAATCTTCACACTTCGACAAAATAAATGTTTTTATTTCCGAAAATGTGCTGATATATATATTCTTGTATAATAATATGAGGAACATTGTCTATATTTTTTGAAAGACCCTCGTATAACATTAACTGGATGAATTCACATTCACATTCAACATAATTCTTTTAGTATATAGACCTTTTAAAGATATGTATGTTTCTTTTGATTTTTCCTTAATGTTTTCATCTTTTAAGTTTGGAATTATTTTGTAAATATATAGAAAAGGTATAAAAGATAGGTTTTGAGAAATATTGCAGTGATCTGACGTTTAGGTCTTTAAGCCATTATAAAAACCATTTTCTAAAATTTTCCTTTTTTATATAAGATGATGATTGATTTAAAAACGTCATGTTTTTTTTCTACTATTTGTAAAGATTTCAGCCCATGCTCATATACATCTATAAATGAAATCAAAGTTGACAATGTATTACTAAAAGTTATCAATTGTGATGACAAAAAAACGGGTTAAATTTCAAAATCTATATTATATTTTTTCAAAAATAATCTTCAATTTGTTTTTGATATAGTAGATAATTTTTTACCCGATTTCGAATCGTTAAAAATCTTATTAATATCAGTTTTTTTTCTACAATAAAAATTTTGAAAAGCTGATTCTTCCTAGAACTTTTTCAGTGTTTTTCCAAACTCAATCTCATCCAGTCGTTTGGGTTTATACAAGTCCATGTATTATGACCGATAACAAAACAGAAGGTATAATTTTATGTATTAACATTTCGCATTATAACAAATTATAATAATCAAATGTTAAAAACTAGGATTTACATTTGAAATATTCTTATGGCCTTTGTTATTGATTCTTTATCTATGAAAAATGATATAAAGACTATGTGTTCAGATCAATGTAACTGAAATGACCTCGGGGTTAATGTTTTTAAAGTCCTGTTCAAGAAATTTTTCCAAAGGAAGCCTTCATCCCACTGATTTTCGATAAATAACGACCAATCAAAAGAGAAGATCGACTGGTATCGACCAGAGCCCCATCCAGAGTAGGACGGGGTGATCTCATTCTCGGGTCAATACAGCCCTTTATACTAGCAGCCGTCGCAGCAGGTTTGATACACTAAAAGGTATATTATGAAATATTTAAGGAATGAAGCTTAGTTCAACTTATTTAAAAAAACGTAAAAGGCCCAAGTTATGTTATATCGTATTACATAAGTTGAAATAAGCTCCATTCCTTATAATCTAATTTCAATGTAGGCAGTGAGACAATTTTTTCCATTTTTTTTCTTTCGGAAAAAGGGCTTTAAATATCGCATATATTAAAAGTTAACGTCAAGTGGAGTACAGCAAAACTCGTTTAGTACGAACACGGATATTGCGAATTTACGGATATAGCGAAGTCATCTTGGATCCCCAGCTATATAAATTTAATGACTTTCTTATACGGTTATAACGAATTACGGATATAGCGAAATAATTTCATAGGTCCCAGAGACTTCGTTATAACCGAGTTTTGCTGTAATACGTTTTTGACAAAACTCATTGTGACGTAGGCATGTTATGTTCTACAAAATGGATAAAACCGTTTAACCAATCAAATGACGTGTTGCAACTAAACTAAAATAAAATAGATATAACGAACAGTAATAAAGATCACAAATCATCCGAACAATACAGACCAAGAGCAGAGCAAACACATACCTCTAAAGCATCCCCTGCAAACCGTCGTACTCGCTGTGTGCTCCTTGACACGATCTGGAAATAACAGAAAAATCGAGGGAAAATTTGAT